GGCGGGTGCCGCTGAAGCGCTCGGGAGCGCGGCGGGGCGGGCGGGACGACGGGGCCTCTCCACACCCTCCTGCAGTGTCCCTAAAGAATCGGTCTCCTTCGGTGCGCGGCCCGGCCCGGCGGGTGCCTGGGCGGGTGCAGGGCTGTAGGTGCTGCTTGGCCCCAGCCGCGCTGTGTCACCGGCCTGTGTGTGGAGGAGGGCCCCTGGCGTCCACGCAGCTCGCGGCGGCCGCTGTCATTCGCCGTGTCGCAGCCTTACGGCACTGCAGGCCCTGCCGGCTGTGCTGCCAAGGACTGGGGCCCTCGCTTCTGGTGTAGGAGGGTTGTCACGAAACCGTAGATGGACGGCCGGCAGGCAGTCTCCTTGTGGGTTCCAGGCGTGTGTATCTAAACACCGTAACTAGCTGTTTTAGCGCACCATAAATGCAGGTCTTGATGTGCCTCTCAATAGCATCATGGAGGTAATACAACTGTGCCTGCCACGCTTTGGTTATGAACATCTGAGGGGGATTATTAAAGAATTATAGAGAATTACAGCTTTTTCTGCTCTTCACAAAAGTTGAACTTGTCATACCGCAGGCTGAAAAAATCGGTTTCTGTGGTGAGGTGGGACTGATGGCATTCAGCGATGCTGGCACGCCACAGCATGCTAGGAGCTAAGTGAAACGGTTAGTTTATGAAAAAATGCAGCTGTTGTCTCGAAGATGTAGACTAAACTAATATCAAGTATAAGCTTTTTTTTTTTTTTTTTAAAAAATATTGAAATGTTGAACGTTAACAGGGGCTTTTGCTTTTGAAATAGATTATCTGCAGTGTAGACTCACTTCAGTTTGTCTGATTTGTGATTGTAAAAATTATGCATAGCTTGGAACAGCGTTTTCTTAATAGATACACAGATGTTGCAGCTGCCATCTGCTCCCGAGAATACTGGAAATTTTCAGTGCTTTCCGAAAGTCAGGCTTACGTTGATGCTTTGCGTTTATGTGTGTTTGTGGAGGTGCGCCCTTTCTTTATCAGGGTCAAAGCTGGTGGAGGTTTTTCCTCAGCTGTGTACAGCCGTGTAACCTGAGCACTGTGCTTGATTGAGAATTAGCCACTGACTGATAAGTGATTTGAGAGCATATAATCTACTCTGACTGCCATTAGTGCACAGTAGTTTCTGGAAGAATAATTAACTGCAGGGTCTCGGTTGATTTTTATCTTAAACTACACAGAAATGTAGAACTGCTTTTAGACTTTAGTTGATAATGGTGGATGATCTTTAATGCGTTTTGATGACCCTGGGAAGGTCTCTTTAGAGGTGGCTGGAAATGTTACAAGGAGAAATGTAAGGAAGGCTTTTAATCATCAATTGACGTGCAGAGAAAAGGAGATACTAAAAAGTCAAAAGTCGCTGTGGAATTAAACCTTATCACTGTTGTTTTAGTTTAAAGTTGCTG